CCTCCAGGAGTATCACATGTGCTAATGCATGCAGGTCATGTGTGCAGGTTGGGTAACTGCTAATATCACCTAACTTGGCCATGTTGGGGGCACATGTGAACATGCTGAGCACGGGGCCGGCACCGCCTTCTCCAGCCGAAGCTTTGTGAACGCAGATTTCACGATGGTCTGCAGCTGCATGCCCCGCTCATCCTAGCAACAAACAAACATGACAGGCACATGTGAACATGAGATGTTGTGGGCTACATGGCATGTAAAATGCTGCACAGTGTCCATCAGTAGCTCATGCAATCGACACATGCGCCGTCCATAGCCTTTTGGATAAGCTGCAGAAGCGGCTAAACCAGGCCCACCCATCCTGGGATACCAACGCGTGTTGAGGTTTGAAACATTTGCAATGTGTGTGTGTGTGACACAAATAGCATTGATCATGCGTGCACCTCATGCATGATAGGCGCATTCACATGATGCACAAATGCAAACATTTGCTGAAATATAGCCACGCTACACACACTTGACACCTTGCTTGTTGTAGTATACAACTGACATGGCCTTCGCGTTGGCACCCTGCGCCTTGCGCTTGAGCTTTTCCCGCTGAGTCTGGGTCAGGGTCCGACGTAGGTCAGGCATCCAGGGACTTGGCGCACGTATATATGCATGCATGGTAACATGTCCCACTGCAGGTCATCACTGCCGCCATGACATCACACAGAACACTGAGAGCAGGACGCGGCGCCCCACACACGGGAGCCTTTTGGTGTTGGTGCCCCCCATGTCGCCATCCAACTGGGAGCAGACAGTCGCACACGCACATGCCCACATTGTATGATGCAGCTGCAAGGGCGCACACACAGGCGCACATGTGCGATATAGCATGATGCACGCATGCATGCATGGGTCGATCTGAGCACATGGCAAAAACTGTGTCCGCCAGAGACGACAGCTAACATACTTGCCGATGTTGGCGGCAACCATGAGCAGCTCGGGGAAGTGGGCCATCGTGCTTGAAGATGGCTGTTCTAACACCGTGTATACCCCCCGCGCCGTCGCCAGTATCAGTAAAAGCAATGCCCGTTGGGCAATCCTGAGTGATCCCAAACAAACTCACAATTCAAGCACTCCATGCATGCACACGAGGATATCAATGCTGCAATTAACATGCATGTATGCGTGCATCGATGCATCAAGAGTCCGCGAGGCCTGTTCCACATAGCTCCGATCTTCGCGCCCATATGGACATTCCCTCGACCGGCCACTGCTAGCACGATTCAAGAATACGAAGCTAGAACATGGTGGCCCCAGGCTCAAAAGCCCATCAGGCACCAGTTTGAGTGTTCCCAGGATAGCATTCGCAAATCCTTGCCTAGGCCAAACGTGAATCAACCAACAAGAATGCAGAAGTTATATTAAGCTTTGGGCGGTGTCAGGATATCGTTGGCGTCACCCCGGCTCACCACATCGTAGAAGTCACTCAGACAAGATCAAGGAATCATCATTCTAGAACTTGCTGAGTCCACAGCCTTCGCTAGCTCTTCCGCCTTTCTCTGCTGGTCAGCTGCGATTACCGCCCTGGCCCATCGAAGCTTCTCAGCCGTCTTCAGCTCCTCCGCCGTCTTCAGCTGCTCGCTGAGCAGCTTCTCCGCTACGGGTAGCTCGCCATCCTCGGCCAACTCCTCTTGGCTCTTCAATCGGTGGGCCTTCTCTAGCTTCACGGCCGTGTTCAGCGCGACCGCTTTCTTCAGCTCCTCATGCTCATCAGCCTTCTGCGCTTCTTCCTCCTTATTGTCATTCTCACTCAACTCCTCGTCTTCGGTTTCAGCCTCCTCTTCTTCGCTTTCCTCACTTTGCGCCTCGACCACGAGGTCTCGAGCTTCAGGATCCTCCGTGATGACGTGCGTGCGAAGTGACGTGTGCTCAACATGCATGCATGCATGCATGCAAGAACATGCAAGGCAAACTGCAAATTCCAACACTGTGGAGCCTTGACAGGTTTGCGAATAGATTTGGCGCGCTTCAAAATGCCGTGCTCCTGGTGGCATGCCGCATGTATGCATGCACACAAGTGAAACATGTCATATTGCAGATCCCCGCACACGCATGCATCCATGCATGCATGATCTAGGCATGCTGTCCTCAAAGATCATTCTGATCAGCGTCTTCAGCTTGTGCATGTTGCCCTCTTTGGACCTGGCCGCTTGCTTCAATGTGTTCCCGACGTGCGTGTTGTACGAATATGCATATCACGGGCCTCGCTGATTTTCGCCTGGCGTAGTTGGCCAAGATCTTGCTCGCAAGGGCGCGGTGCAGGTTTCCTTCTGTCTGTGCCCACTCCTGTCCACACAGCATTACAGCCACAGTACGTACTGTGCGCGTTGCATGTGTGAACATTTCAATCATCTGACATCTACTTCGAATTGCAACATGCATGCATGCATGCATGTGATGTGTTTCTTTTTGATTGCAATGTTGCTTGGGGCAAATCGTTGATCAAATAAGCAAGCCCACATCTCTCCAGCACATCAGAGGTAACCTTCTTGCTGCTCACCAGCCGCATTTCGACGGCCACTTCCGCCAGAGCTTCCTGCATGCTAGGCCAGGCATACATCGACCAACAAAAAAACATCAGACATGGAGGCAATTCGATTGATGAGGCCTTTGTTTCCTTCTCCGTTGGCACGTCCAGCGCAAAGCTTGGCAGCCACTGCATGAGGAAGCCCGTGTTCACGTCTTTCTGCATCTGGCGCCCCACACGCATGCCGTCATATCAAGTACCACGCACGCCCGTGCTATCATTTGCATGCAGATTGACTCCCTGCATATTGAATCCAACGTGTGTGGACTGTGAATGTTGGCCATGGGGGAGTGAGGGAGGCACAGAATGCGGGGTGAGCGACAATGAATACGCACACAGCAAACAGGACGGGTGTGCCATGTCCTCATTGATGCCCCTCTCTGCGTGAACATCCACGAAGGAGAACTCCACCGGCACCTGGCAACATAACATGCGTGTGCGTGCATAAGCATGTGAATGCAAACAAGTTAATCTGTCACATTGATCGCAGTAAGTGCAAATGCAACCCCCAAAACCCAAGCTTCGCGGATGCAATGCAGCAAGAGCTAGCCGATTTGGGATGAAAGCATGCCGGGATGTCTGCGCCGTCCACCAACGAGCGTGTGAGCTTGGCTTCGCTGATCCCCTGCTTTTGGGCTAAGAACGCCATCCGGTTCCAGCGGAAGTCACTTGTCTTGAGGTAGTCGGTGTAGAAGTCCTGCATTTCTTGAAATACGTTAACACATGCATGCATGCATGCAAGCAACAATTACCCGGTGGAAACTGTCCTTCAGCATGAGTTTTCGCCGCTGCAGGGCTTCGAGGTCGGCATGGTGAACCCGAGCGCAACCCCGAAAGTGAAAAAACCCACAGGGCTGGGATGTGTGCCACCAAACCTTGTAAATGGCATACAGCTTGGGGTATCTTGATCTTGTGACATGTTGAAAAAACCCACAGAGGCTGAGATAAAATGCAGAATCATGCATGCATGCGTGTGCAGGGCACTTTGTGATTTTGCCCTTTGTGCGACAGCATTTAAAAATGATTGAGGTTGAAAATCGTTGATCGACCAAAGGGCAAATCAGATACCACACCATGCATGTGTGTGCATGCATGAGTGGCACCTTCTTGATGATCGCCTCGTCTCAGTTGAAGATCCCGTTTCCCTGAGCGATCACGGCATGATTGCAAAATGCAACTTGCATTGCATGCACATGTTTGCGATCTAAGTAGCGCGCTTTTCCGAAGGGCCTTCAACATCCCACCATGGCATCAACCCGAACCTTGCCCCTGGATGCATCCATGTGGCGCTCATGAAGCCTGCAACCAAACAATGCAATGTATACATGTGCATGCATGAAAAATGGATTAAATTGCTGCCCTGCCCCCCCTCGAGCCAGGTGATTCCAGCCTGAAAGTAAAACTCCTGCATGGGAGTTAAACTCCTGCATTCCGTTGGCATGAGTTAACTCCTGCATTGGTTTCCAGGGAAGGGCTGCAAGCGACTGGGCCCATCTCGAGGGTTGAAAAGGAGGGACAACCTGTGGTCCTGCCGGTTGAATGGATCAAGTTTGGCTTCTTAGGGGGCCACTCACGTACGCCCCCAGAAAAGGGGTCAAGGTCTAGCCTCACAGCATGGACCGGGTCTGGATGACCGCTTCGCATAGGTTCCCCCGGCTGGCCAGTAGCTTCCCGCTGTGCCGTGACTGGGTAGACCGTTCCCCTTGGCGCCTTTGCCCAGGATGGTGGATCGTCCTGTGGGATGGCAGCGTTTTAGCGTTTTGGCGTTTTGGGCCGTATATCCTTCAAGATTGGACTAAAATTCCTTGCAACACACGCGCTAACCGCTTTGTGTGTGTGTGTGTGGCTTTTGTTCAAGAGCCTCGTTTCGCTACGCGCTTGGGACCCATCCGCCTCTTGGCTTCCAACGCGCAAAAGGCCTTTGACTTTCTCCCGTCTGTGCCAGGCCTTGGCACGAGGGCGGGCGGAACCCTTTGCTGAGCTGAGGGAAACCGGAGAAAAAAAGGCACGCCACGATTCCCACAATCGTCGCGGCGTTGAGCGGATTGCAGTGCGGTTGCTGGCGACCCGATCTGTGCATGAAGCGGAGTTGGCACAAGCTTTCTTGATTGCTGTGTTCAGTTCTTGGCAATTTGTTTTATGTGTCTCGTCCTCAAAGCATCCGGCACTCACAGAACGAGCCAAACCGGATGCATCATTGTTTGTTTCTCGGGTCCAAATGCCTTGACACCTGAGATCTGGGGGTCTCTTTGGCCAAGGGCGGTCTAAAGACTGCAGGAACTCGTTGCGGCTTGAGCCCTCCAGGGCAGTGTCTTAGACTGGGTCACTCATGTTGAGGGCCGCTCTCGAGCGCGGGGAATGACTCTTTATGGCGCGGCCGGCTCGAAGCCATTTTCCTCCCGCCCGCGCGCACGGGGGACTCTTGGGGATGGATGGACCTGCCACGGAGCCCGTTGGCGAGCCAAGGACCGCAGTGGAAAGTGGGCCATACAAAAGTGGGTGTTTTCTGGAACCCTTTTTGATGGCTTTTAAAAGAAAACACAAAGAAAACCAACTGGGAAACTGCCATTGTGGGCACCCCCCCCTAAAAGAGGACAGACCCAACTGGGGAGGGACGGAGGGAGGGAGGGCTAGGGAATTCTCCGCGAGAAAATGAGTAGCAACCGCAGCACAGGTAGGGAGGGTCTCGCCAACTGTTTGGTGGCCGTTGCGAAAGCCAGAGACACCACAACCAGAGAAGCCGCGAAGAGCTTCTCAACCAGGAGCTTAGCCCCAGGCCCCGAGGCAAGAGGGATGGGTGCGGTGGGGTGACCCAAATCAGGGAGGTTTGCCAACGATGTCGGTTGATCCATGTCCTGCAAGGAGTTTTGTGTTGAGATCTCGGCGGCTTCGAGTCGCGGAGGTTTTCAAGATGGACACTTTCAATGCGGATGGTTGCTCGGCCAGAGGAGCCCTTAGGAGATGAGTTTTCCAATTCAGTCGGATGTGGGACGTTCCAATTTCACACATTGGCCACCGCCGAGGGCCGATAGCATAGTGGGCATCAATCTGTAGCGTTGAAACGAAGGCAGTTTTTCCTTGCCTCGCCGCACCTTTGCCCCACTCCCGGCATTTTTGTCCAAAAGAAAACCGCCCTTGAGAAAACGGGCAGACATTTCTGCCCATGGAGTGTCTGGGTATGTGTGCATTGGTGCCAGAGAGTATAGAAGGGTCCACATCCAGACAAGTCCCGAAATTCCGTGCAACTGCTCTTGTGCTTTTCAGCTCCAACAAATGCCCCTGACTTCCACAACTGGTTCCTGGCAGAAGGCCGCAGTGCCTTCGAAATCTGCAAATGGGTCCCCTCAAAACGGGACTCGTTCAAAAAACACACGTCTTTGGGTCCACGCTAATCTGAGGTTCTAGATGCCCCACACCTCAAATGCGTGCTGAGTTTGTTTTATTTTGTCTTGTCTAAGAGGATGGGTTGAGTATTCGGAAGGTTGCCGGGTCAGGGTAAACTCCCTTCAGACCAAGAGCCGTGTCTTCATTCTTTGGTTCTCACATTTGTCCCTTGTGCATTTCATTGTCAGCTTGCCTCTTTTTGTTCTTGCCCTTTTCCATGGAAGGTAGTCCACATTTCTTCTTTCGCAGGTACAGAGCGAGGGCCTGCTCGAGAATGACCTCTACCTGCTGACCGGCCAGGCGGGGCCAAGCAAGAAATGGATACACGTACATATGCGCACACACACACACACATAATTGTACAGAGGCCTGATGCTTGTCGGGACGCGCTTTCTTGATGCATCTTCAGAAGGTCCGACAAACCCCCGGCCTGTGCTTTGCCAAGCGTTGAAAGCCGCTTTTGATCTGGAAACACCTGGGCTTGTCTCAAATTCGGGGGAACCCCTAAAACGGTCAATTTCCTCCGTGTTTCTTGCATTTTCAGGTTTTGAACCCTAAAATGGCCAGTTTCCTTTGCGTTTTTTGGTTTCTGTTTTGTTTTTTCTTCTTTAAACCCATCAGACCACGGGAGCAACTCCCAAAAAGCAACACCGCCACGCTCAAGCCTTCGCCAGGCCGAGGCGCAGGCTGGGCCGTGCGTAACAATTTGGCGACGGATCTTTGGGCGTTGACATTTTTTGGTTGACACTTTGGTCGATTTTTTGGCAACCTTTAGTTGGTGGAGTGGATTGGTGGTTTGAGGATTTGAACCTCTGGTTCTGGAGGTTTACTGGGAAACCCCTCCACCAAACCACCAGGCTCCAAACCACTTTCCGTATGGGACCCACAAGTTGCACACCCGCAGAGGGGAGCCACGATTAGTTGATCAAAAGGTCCTTTACATAGGGCTACCATTGGTTGGAAAGCCACTAAAAAGATGATATCTTCTAAAAAGGGGAACAGTTACCCTTGGTGAAGGCCAGGAGTATTTTTCAACTCGCAGTTTTGAGGGACCCTCTATTTTTGTGACGTACCAAGCTGGCCTGGTGGAGCTGATCTGAGAAAGCTGCGGAAAAGGATTTGGGAGAGCAATCTGGTTGGCTGAAGTTTGTCTTGGGCGGAGTTTCGGATGGCGAGCCAGACATTCGTGGCCAAACATTCGCATTTTGACAGTATCGAACAGATTTCGCTGACCAGGAGAAAGGCAGGAGGCGCGTCAGATGGGGATGGATGCGGATCTGCCGACGGGCGTTTTGGGTTTGGTCGTTAGGTTGGGATTTGGTCGTTTGAATGGGAAGCCCCAGCACCAAGATAAGGACCGAAGCGGACAATTCGGCAGAAACAGTTAGTAATCTCGGGATTTGCATTTCCAGCAAGATAAATTTTCGGAGCCTGTTGTCCAGCCGAGTCAGACATTTGGAAGTCGAGCGAGAGGCGTCGGACCTTGGCTTAGGCGCCGCGGCCGCGAGCCGCGGGTTCCCGCGCAGCTGGCGCTGCCGCCCGCGCCCGCGCCCGAGGCGCCCGAGGCGCCCGAGGCGGCAGGCGAGCGCGAGGAGCGGCTTTTGCAGGAGCGCGCGGGCGAGCCCCAGCGGGGGAGCCCAAGGGGCCCAGGAAAAGAGGAACATGATTCTGCATGTTTTTTCTGGGCGATATTTCCAAAAGTTGATGTAAAGGATCCCAAGGTAAAGAATCTTATCATGAGCTCGTTTTACCCCCACATGAGCTCGCCAAAAAAAATTGAGGTGCTCAAAGCGCGATAACGGATTCAAAGTCTCCAACAGGTTAAGATGAATGAAATGGGACAGCGATTGTAGGACGGTTCCACTGAGTGGTTTTTTTTTGCTGTACAGCTCTTGTCGGAAAGAGCGCTGGACCCTTGGTATGTCCACAAGGCTTCCCTTCCCACTGGTTGTTCCTTCACAAACTTTCAAGGGACAAATTCTGTCCATTGCAATCAGCAGCCATACATCTCAACTCCTTGTGTCCAAGGCTTGCGCTGCCTGCCCCCGGGGACGAGGCGGCCAACGGGGAGCACCCGGAAGCGCCAGAGGCGCGGGAGAGATGTGCTTTGTCCTTCCTCCGGCGTTGTGTCGGGGGGGTGCCCTAAGTCAGTGCAACGGGGTTTGATTTGTTTCGTCCACTCAGCTGGATATGTCCGAAATTCCTAAGCTAGCTCCATCTCACGCCCAGAAGGCTTCCTAGCAAAAGCGCCGAGACAGCAACCGAAGGTGACAGTGGACTGGATTGGACAATGGAGAACCTGGAAATAGTGGGCATTGAGGGCAACATGAAGCATGGACAACATCGGCAACTTCGGCATCCAGCAACATCCAAACACGCAATCGACCATTGAAGGGCCTCGTATTTTTGACAGTGTTTCAGTGCCAAGCGATCGCATCGTTTTCTGGCAACGAGAGGTTCCAACAGGATGATTCGCGCATGATTCGAACAGGATGATCCAGAACGTGCCCGGAAGAGGAAAAAGTTTGAGCCCGGAGCCCCGAACTCTTTGGAGCAGCGTCTCAAGGAGAATGGGCGGGAAGTGGGGACATGGTGAGCGTAGGTGTCCTTGTTGGCCAGTTGACTTGAACATAGAGACCATTGGTTTCAGTTTAGTTCCAGTCATTGGCCAGTGCCATCTCTTTCTTCAGGACCGTTGCTTTTGGAGGCCACGACCGTTCCCCTCGGCCACTTGTGCGGCGCCTCTGTTGCAACGCAGGCGTTGTTTGAGCCTGGTGGCAAGAGGGCCATGTGGAGGCTGGAAGATCTAACTGGGGTCTGGCGGGTTTCAGGTAGCGTTCCTGTGAAACGCAGGCCAGTAACTACAAATTCTGATGTTCCAATGGGCCCATGGGCCCTTTGGACGGACAAATGCTGACATAGCAACCACCAAATGGTTCAATCCAACTCAGGTCCAAGCCAGTAGAGGCTCGGCGGGAGGAAGGCGCGGGTCTGGTGCGGAGGGGAAGGCATTCATTGGAGAGAGGTTTGTGTTTTATTGGCGTAATGGCGGGTAGTGCATACCCGTACAACCTGGACACCCAAACAGAAATCCCCTTTTTCCTGACGTCCGCGAAAGGGTCCATTTGCAATTCAGTTTCATCCCCGAGGCATGGAGGTCATGGCCAGAAGGAGAGAGCTTGAAGTGAGTGGGGAACGCTAGATTTCGTGTGAGAGCTGAGTAGTTGGAAGCCCAGAAAGCGGCCACCCAGAAGGAGATTCCTACGCTTCTCCAACTTGTTTGGGGGTTGATGATTCAGATGAGTTGAGTTCCACGCGAATCTGCAGAGAGAAAGAACCACAACTTGGAACACTTTTCATGGCAGTTCGAGGACCTCACACTGGGTCAGCGACAGGTCGGCAGTAGCGACTTTTAACATCTGATGTGTCATTCTGAGTTTATCTTACAATCCCATCCTACCCGCAAGCATGGATTGGGAATGCGCTGCGTTCTTTTCTTTCAGCCAAAGCCAGCCTTCGCGAGGGTTGTTTGCTTTTATCGAATTTTGGTAGCTAGTTCTCTCCTGGTTGTAAAGGCCCAAGGGAGCGTAGCTTTCTGTTCACGATCCTGTCGCATGAATATCCTTGAAGTACGACCCCTGCCTCGTTGATCATAGTTTGCCATGGGCAATCCACCTCCCAATCTCAGCACGGAATTATGTGTCTTTGTTTTAACATATTATTCTTTGCGTCGGCTCGCAGTCGAGTTTTGACGCTAGGAGACGACTCGGAGTGGATCTGGTTCCCTTCCCTTGCGGCCGCCGGAAGAGAGACAGGCGGGGAATCCGGGAAGCGGCGACGATCAGCGTCCGGATCTCTTGCTTTGCAGGCTGCTTGCTTCCCCATGTTCGGCCCCCCACGCGTTTCACTCTCGTTTCGAGGGTCGACCCAGACGGTGCTGGGTCGGTGAGTTGCCAGCTTCTTTGCACTGCTTGAAGTAGAAAGCGCCAGGCTGACTTGGCTGGTTTTGCGGGTCTGACTTAAGGCTGGATGGGTCTGACTTGCAAAGGCCGGACGCCCAAGAGGAGACATGACGCTGCTCGTTTGATCAGCTATCTCCAACTATTCGGAATCAGAGCCGGGCGTTCGCAACGCATGAGAGTCTGGTTTATGGTTTACCCGACGCCATTCCCCCGGCTGTGGGCTCCTGAAGTCTGTTGTTTTTGTGTGCTTCGTGTGGTTTTTCGGAACAGGATTCACGATCTGCAATCATGAAGCATCCTATTTCACACCAGCCTGCAACCAACTCTAGGTGGTTCGGTGCCCTAAACTGCCGCATTTGCCGGTCACTCGGACAGTGCCGCATCTACTGATTTGGGTGTGTCCTTTTGCAGTGGTCCCCCAAAATGGTGGTTTTCCTGTAGGTTTCCCTTTAAAACCACACACCAAAAGGGTCGCCAACCTTTGGACAGGAGCACCAAACGGCTCCATTGCCAGCCTGTGCACCATGCAGGGCTCGCACTCAGGCGGCCGATTTGTTTTCCTGACGATGTGGCGTGCTGGTCAGTTTTTCCGAGGAGTTGTGGGAATGGACCTGGCTACAACGTTCAAGTGACTTTCCTTTGGGGATGTTTGGACGAGAAATCGGGAACCCTGCCCCTCTCATTGAAAATACACCCTGAGTGTGTTGATTTGGCGGTTTAGGGGAGAACGAGAAGCACATGTCTGTGGCATCTCAAAACTTCTGCTTTGTGCTAAGCCCATAAGGCCCATAAGGTTATTTGCAGTTTCTCTATCGGTGCAGCACGTGGATCCGGTTTGCAGTGCATGCCGAGTGGCTAGGCGTTGTAGGCGTGTCCAAGTGCGAGATGCGGACTTCCCTTTCTCAAGGAGTCGCAGGGTCTGAGTTTGGCCCCGAAAAGGGAAGGGGGTAGATGGGGTTCATACACACTAGGTCGCCCAGTAGCGCCCTTACCCTTTTGTTGGGGGAGGGTTCCCCTACTAAAATAGACTACAAAAAAGGGTTCCAACTTATTCTAGCCTCTCTACTGGAGGACCTAGCAAAGAGATTGCGCGTGATGTATGCCTTTGCAATCAGCGCAGGAGCTCGTAGCCGTAGCATGGGGTCAAGGGCTTGTGCAGCCATACCTGGCTTGCCCCCCACCAGTCGCTCTGGAAGAACCGTGGTTTTTGTAAGATTGGCTACGGTTTGAATGGTGTTTGGCTCTCCATGGTCCTACTGAACCGCCGCTGTCCGACTGCACGAATTCTTGGCTCGCTGCACCAAGATAGGGTTTCTGAAAAAACACGCCGAGTGAGCAGCTAGGGCACATCCTCTTTGAACAGGCAGCCGTGCAACTCCATTTCTTCGACTGGCATTCTGGCTCGCTCTTAGCCGGGATGTTCAATCCATGAATGATCTGGATTGTTACGCACGGATCAGCTTGCAGAAGACACCACGTGCACCTTATGGCGCGTACCATCGATCACCTATCGCTTTGGCGCCAGTGATGACTGCTTGAGATGTTATGCTGCCATGGCCCGAGTGTTCTGGCTATGCCTTGCCTACTTGACTCCGGTCCAGGCCCAGCAGCCAGTGATCTATGGAGAGTCCATACTGCTGGTGGTGGTTGGCGTCATCCTCTTCGGGCTTTGCAACCTGGAGGATCGAAATCCCACTTCGGTGCGATGTCGTCTCTCCATGTCATCGGCACAAAGACTAGGTCCCCCAGTAGTGCCCTTTTACCCCTTTTTTGGTTGGGAGGGATCCGCCTCCGTTTTTTGTTTTGTTTTTGTGGATATATATATATATATATCTACACACTTCACTGTGATCATGAGGCACCTGTCCGTGTCGGATCCGTCGAAGCCCGAAGCCCGAAGCCCGGCAGAGATCCGAGGCACCGGTCTGTGCGCCTTCGCGATCCGGAACCGCAAGGACTTGGCGGAGCTGCTACCTGCGGTCTTTAGCTCCACCCGCACGTGTCTTGGGCTGAGAGCTGGGCTGAGAGCTGGGCTGAGAGCTGGGCTGAGAGCTGGGCTGAGAGCTGGGCTGAGAGGTCTGAGAGGTCTGTTGGAAAGTTTCACCTTTCGACTTGGGGCGTTCCAAAGTTCCCAAAGTGCATGGTCTTCTTGGGTTTCCCTCTTTGACATCGAGAGAAAAGAAGGGTTCCCCATAGAACCCAATAAAATTGGTGGACAAGGTAACCCAGACCTGATGCAGGGAGCCGGGGCTTTGCCCTTATATCTTGTGATTTTTCGGGTACGGTATCTTTCATGTCGGGGAGTGGGAGTGTGCTTTGACAGACCACATGTCAGGTGCGTGTCTTTGAAAAAAGCACGCAGTGCCATCAAATCTCAAACGAAAGCAACGTTGGGAGTAGACAGCTGCAAGCCAATGACATACGGATCCTGAAAGTTCGAGTCGACTGTTCTCGTTTTCGGAAAGGTGTGAGCGCATGGACGTTTCAGAGATCTGATAAGTTGACACGGGGAATTCTTAGGTTTCAGGCCTGCGAGGTTTAAGGAGATACACACAGGATGTAAGAGGTTCCTTGACACACACAAAACATGCTTTTGAGGCTGCACGGCATCCATCCATCCATCCATCCATCCATCCATCCATCCATCCATCCATCCATCCATCCATCCATCCATCCATCCATCCATCCATCCATCCATCCATCCATCCATCCATCCATCCATCCATCCATCCATCCATCCATCCATCCATCCATCCATCCATCCATCCATCCATCCATCCATCCATCCATCCATCCATCCATCCATCCATCCATCCATCCATCCATCCATCCATCCATCCATCCATCCATCCATCCATCCATCCATCCATCCATCCATCCATCCATCCATCCATCCATCCATCCATCCATCCATCCATCCATCCATCCCAAAAGTCCAGCAACGCGTCAAAACAGGGCACATCCAGTTGAGCCACCATGTCTGCGTGTTTCCGCAAAAATTGTCACAAAACTGCAGCAAGGACTTGGTATCCTTTTTGCGGTTCAAGACAAAATCAAAAGGGGAACTTTGATCACACGACCCCATCTTGTGGCCCCTTGGGCCGCGTAGGGCTTTTTCTCCCCGAGCCTCCGGAAGTGTTAAGGTTTTATCAAACTCAGTCGCCAAATTGACACATTATTGTTCTGTGTCTGCAGAGTCCCAGATTGAGATTCATTCCCGCCCCGTTGAGTGGCTCAGCTTGCTTTTCCTATTTTGTTCCGTGCTACAATGGGTATATGAGCGTCTCTCAAAATCATCCCCTAAACCGGCAGCGGTTTCCTCTGGATTTCCTGCTTCCAAGAGGGGTCCGACTTCCATTTCGAGAACTCCCCCCTCCCCCTCCCCCATGGTCTTTCTGTTTTGAGGGTGCCCTTTTGAAACACCCATATGTGCCAAGGTCAACCCTCCCTTTCCGCCCCCACTTGGGGTTAACAGGGATGGTCATCCAGCTGGTAGTAAGGATCCTTAACAACCATCAGCATGACTCCTGTGAAGGGAAACATGTCCATAGGCCAAGGAAACAAGGAGTTTTCGACCATGGCTCATGTGGCCGTGGCATCCGTATCCCCAATCTAAGGGTTTTTGTATTATGCCCCTGGGATTACGCCCACTGGGAAATGGGATAACATCATGTTATTTTGGACCATGTTGGGCCATTTCCCAAGGGTGTAATCCCAGGCTATAATACAACAACCCTTAGACCCAGCCTCTTCCAGCGGATCTCGAGTGTCAGGGTGGTGGAGCAGCCGACCGAGGAGGACCGCATCGCCTTCGAGCGGGCGGCGCTTTGGACGAAACCGGCTAAGAGATGGTGGTTCCCAAAGCTCACCTTAGGCTGTTCGATCAAAAGTTGCCTTACCACCAACCCCCGTCACGCCACTCAACTAGAATGGTGGTGGAGCCACAACTACAGTGGTCTTCTATTTTGGCACATAGCCATAACAGCATGGTGGTTTGGAATCCGGTGGTTCGGAATTGAAGGTCTGGTTCTAGAGGGCAACCACCAGGCCCGTAACACCTCCAAAGCACCAATCCAAGAGCGAAGCGGATGTTCGGTTTCCGCCGACAATTCTTGTGGTGGGCCCCCTTTGTTTGGTTGGAAGAAAGGGCAACCGACAGAGTTCCATTTTTGAAATGGACCCGATCTTAAGAAACACCCGCCTTGTTTGGTTTCAGGCCCCTTCAGCAAAGTGATCCAATATAGATTCTTTGTGGCAGATCAGAAGCTCACCTGGCCAAGAATGGCAAGACGCGTGTGGAAAGTTAACAAGCTTCGAGTTCCCGAAGTGCACTCCGTGTTTCATGCCATGAACCAATTCTCGCTAGGGAAAGCCCCTGGTCCTCCAGATCAATCCGAAGTTTACAGCGGGTGAGAATTGTGTGCCAAAACAGAAGACCCCCAAAATGGCCGTTTAAACATCACCCTAAAGCGGCACCCCCTTTTAAAACCAGAACATAGGAAGTAGGTTATGGCTATAAGCCAGGTAACAGGGGTTGTTTCCCACCGGATTACAACCTGGCTGCTAAGTAGGTTTAACAATCCAGACGAAAGGAAGCAGGGAGAAATTGGTCAGCTTGCTTGCAAAACGGGGCCAGTCCATTCCCGGTCGATGCCCAACAACGACCAGCAGGAGTACTTGAAGCTTTTTATTTGGGACCACTTGGGCTGTGCTGAATCTAACTCGGAAGCTGTGACCCATCTACAACGATTTGATCGGACATTGAAGCCTGGGATGAGAGGTAGCGAGCCAAACTTCTTGTACTGCGAAAAGGCCCTGAGACAAACGAGATCTGCGCCCAGGCTGAAACCGCGAACCCCTTTTTGGATAGCTGCAAATGGTAAGCGCCCATTTGCAATGGTCTCCAGCTTTGACGCGGCTTCATTCTTTCGGTTGGCTTCTTGAGCAGAGTGTTGAGATAGTTGGCATGTACAGCTTCAGCTACACCCGATTTGCTGTTCCATGTTTGTGGCACACGTGAAGATGAACAATAGCAAAAGCGAAGCGCATGGCGGCAAGTCAGCAACACGGGACAAGAACACCAAGGCATCGGGAGTATGCTAAGCTGGGCCAAAATGGGGTTTCTCTTAAAATAGGGGTCCCCAACTAGTAGGCTTCTTTTGGTCCTCATTTAAATACCAACTACAAGGGGAGAGCAGGGAACTCCAATCTGGGAGAGGAGATTGACCATCAACGGGCCCATGTCAATTTTGAGGCGCGTTTGGGTTCCAAATGGCTGCAGGACCAGTAAATAGAGAAGCAAGCAAGCAATCAAGCAAGCACTCAAGCAAGCAAGCAAGCAGGCAAAGGGTGACATGAGCAGTTCCCGGAGACAAATTCGCGCGCCCAAACGAGCCCACGGCTTCTCCGGTTCCGCGTTGCTCCTCTCGCTTCGACCCGAGGAGCGTCGAAAGCGGAGGAAGGAGGAGCTGAGGGAAGCCGCGGAGGCGCTGGAGGACGAGGCGGGATGTGCTTGTTTTTTTGGGCAGCCATGCTTCCATTCGCTTAAGAATATCTGTTTATGGTAAACGCTTCGGCGGTCAGTCCGCTTTTGGCTGGCTTTGAGGTATACCCTGTTCCCTTGTTGGTTTTGAAGGGAATCTATCACAGGACATTTTGGCATGTTTTTCCCGGGGGCTTAAGCAATTTGAAGCATGTGGAGTGGGTTTGGAGAAGGATGCGTAAACAAGCAAGGGTCATCTTTGGAAATCGAGTCTTCCAACAGGCTCGATTTTCCGTGGAAAAAATACGTCCCCCACTCCCCTACGTGCTCCAATGAATCATACTGAACACCATTCAGGATCATGGGAACCATATGGACCGTGTTTCACCCACCGGGGACCTGTGAGGAGACCCGGCTGGAAATGGGACTGCCCTCCACCCTGGAGGAAGGCGTTCAAGGCACGGGGCTCTGGCTTGGGGGGCGTGTCTTTGTTTGAGGCTGTCCCGCAATGGCGAACCGGTGTTTCTCTTGGTTTCCCTTTGAAGCTGCAACAAAGGGGTACTTTTTTTTGGGGGGTTGGTTGGGCCGAAGCTGTCCGATTCCCAAAATAAGCTCAGGTGATATCCCCAACAGCATGCGGTGCTCTTTTTACTCGTGGAACCCTGGTGGAACCCTGGTGGAACCCTGGTGGAACCTTACCTCAGGGCCGCCCCGGACCACCCCGGAGCCTATCTGGGCTGAGCCCCCAAAGCTTTCAGCTGTTGGGAAAAGAAGCCACGCTCATTTGTTGAGGCTGTGAAATTCACCAGCGGGTTAACGTCTGTAACGTCTACAGGGAAGGGTTTTGTGAATACACCCTCCTCTCATCCTTTGCTGGGCGGCAGGTTGCTTTTGCATGCGAGGGGTGTTTAATTCCACTACAAACGCTTCTGGAGAGTACTCAGTCGTCGCAATTGCGGCATAGTCCATTTGGAGGCATGTCATGGCACATTGAAGGTGTTTCATTCAAACATTCAAACCAAGTCCTCGAGATCCGGATGCGACAGGCAACTCGGCCCAGGCTTAGATGGCTGATTCCAAGGGGCTCAGCGCCTCTTTCCGGGCTCCGTCCTTTTGTGTGGGGAACCTTGTTCTCTTAAAGGTGTTCAAGGGAAGCCAGAAGGACTAGGGCTTTTCTTTTTTTTTGGTTGGGGGGGGGAGGAGAGGCGTGCCCGGAAAAAAGAAAAGACACCCCCCTCCCTTTTCTTCGCCTGGAGCTCTATCAATATCGCGGGAGGGCGGGGGGGGGTGTCAGCGAAGTCGAATGCTTCGAGGCCGCGGGGTGGCTCCGAGCTCCGAGGGCGGCGAGAGCACCAACAGCCTGTCCTTGGCGCGAGGGCTCCATGCGCTGCAGGGCGGAAGGGGTGGTTTTGGGTTAGAGAAACACGTGGTGGATAGCCTATAGCCTTTGCAACCTCTGGAAGTTTATCCTTTCAAACAACAAAAACGGCACGACTCAGTTTGTATGGCATCCTTTACATCTGCCTTTGCTACGGTCTCCGGCTGGTACGGATGTCTACATTAGTCATCCCCGAGTGCTGCGAGTGCTGCGAGTGCTGCAATTTTTGGGTTCCATGCTTGTTCGGTTCCTTGTGTTAATCAGGGGAGTGGTCATCTGGAGTTTCTCAAACTTGTGGACCTCCTTGTGGTTGGTTCCAAGAGGGAAGCACCGGGAATGCCACCGTTTTGGGACATGGTCCTTGACATGACTCTTCTGGGTGTTTCTCCAAACAGGGTTCCACCCATGTTTAACTGTTTCCATTGAAGAATTGGCCTAAGCCCCTGAACCAAGCCCAAGCCGTGTTTTACCACCCATGTTTTATCTGTTTCCCTTGGTAGAGCCCCAGAAAACGGGGCCAGCCCTGAAAGCCATGCCTCAGCCAAGCTGCGCTCCCACAAAGCCCGCGAATCCCGAGGCGCAAGGTGGGGGGCCCCCGGCGCGGCAGCCGCACCTCGGATCCCGGGCTGCGCAGGGAACGGCCCTCCATCGCTCTGGACCCAGGCGACGGGGATCGCTTTCGGATTTCGATCCGATTCCGGCCGAGTCCGGCGACTTTCTCTCCAGGAAGGGTAGCCCAAGGGTACTACTGGTTGGTGGTCTTGATGTTTTGAAAGCTCCAAGCTCCGCCAATCGAAAGCAATGAAGCTGAATTTGATTGGGAAGTGAAAGGGGCACTTGGTGAAACTATGAGACACTCCACACAAATGGCCACTACGGAGATCTACTTTTTGGAGGTCCAGTGGGGCTCAATGGTTCCACAGTCATTGTCCTAGTAGTAGTTTTTCAAGGGGTTGATTCCTCTTCCATTCTTTTCAACCATCGTTCTTTCCAAAAACCGGCTGTTTCCCCTTGGTTTTTGATGGTTTCCTGAAAAGATCCGGATCCCTGGAAAGAATGGAAATGAGGCAAAGGACCCATTGAAATTCTCAGGTGGCCCTTCCGCAAAAACCGCAGGCGAAGAGGGCCCCGTGGCTCCCCTGGTCGAGTCGGCCAAGCACAGCCGCACCAAAGGCGAGGGTTCGCTTCGAAGTCGAGTCCTCCGGGTTTCCGTTGGAACATCTCGGAGAGACTGCGGAGGGGTCTGTCTTTTTTTAAGGTAATCGCTTGCTTGTTGGTTTTAAAGTGAAGGGCAGGGCTCAAAGAAGGAAGCCCCAATTTCGCTTTTTCCAGGCGTCCATGTCTTGGTTTCCACAACCTGATTGTTTGGGGGAAGGGCTGCTCATCGACCCTTTCGTGTTTTCAGACGACCAACTTTAAGGATTCTTGCGAAGGGAACCCATCCGCCTACAATAGGAGTTGTGAAGAGTTCCATCAAAATATCCTGATTTGTCTATGGTTATTTTGGGAGAGGGGGGGGGGCTCACTAGATTCAGCACAAGAACTAAGGAGACTCATTAATTTTCATGTGTGTTCGGGGTGACACCATATTCTGTCTGTAGCTCATATGGAGGAGGGGGGGTGTCCTACACCGGCGGGTTTTTTGGTTGGAGTTAAAACGAGATCTATCATTTCAAGGGTCCCCCCAACCATGAATGAGGGGCCTTCACTTTGGAGGGGGCGATTCCTCAAACATAGTTGGTGGACATGAATCTCCGTGCCAACAATGTTTTCGAAAGGGCGCTTAAACATGAATTTATAGAACCATTTGATTTGGGCGTCCATATTTTTTCAGACCCCTTTTGGATCTTGTTGAAACGACGGCCAAAAGGGGCGTGCAGAAGCAGCTTTACTGTACATACAGGATCATCAGGGACAAGGGAGGAGCTACTTGAGTCTTTACTCCTAAGGAACAGTAAGTAAGGATCTACAAAGGCGGAATGCCGAATGTCCCTTCCGACCTGCATCGGCGGCTTTGGCTCGCTTGAAGCCAACTGCACAAATGCTGCCACCCCCCCCCCCCCCCCAGGTAAATGTATGTCCATGTATGTTGCTGTTTCTGGGCCAAGATTCACCTGTGAGAACGGAACTATGGGAAGTAGCCGCCAAGCAGTCCCGAACGGATTCCCATAGTTTCCACACCAGAGCTCTTGTCGACGTGTTTTCTTTTTCTTTCTTTTTTTCTCTTTCGGGACACGCTGTTTCAGGGAGTTCTTCTGCCTACTGGGACACACCCAGGCTGGCTGAAGCAGAAGGCTTTAACGGCAAGATGTAGGAGCAGCCGCATTGAAGCGTGTCTAGCATGTGGGGTGTCTCAAAGTAGGGCGGACCCCCAAAAGGATTGGTTTCCCTTGGAAACAACCCAAAAGGGTGCCCGGAAGATTGAGATCCAC